TTGAGGCAGCATTCATTTATTTGCTGTCCTATTTTTGTCTGTTCAGGCATCGTTTCGGACTAGTAGTTCATCCGACTTTTGGTCCATTCGGACGAAGGCCACGTTTTGGGCCTTGTACGTTCGCAGGCAGGCCCTTTCGGGCCAGGTCCGTTTTTGTCCAGTTGCGGACACTCCCTGCTGCATCAGCAGGGAGGGCCTGGACGTCCGGTAGGGACCCAGGCAGGCCACATTTTGGCCTAGGACCAGCGGCACACGGAGGCACACCCGCGAGGCCCAGTGCTACTTATAGCTGGGCCTGGCCAGGGCAGACACACAGTCGAGTAGCTCACTTCTTGGGCAACACGCTGCTGGAGCAGCACAACAGCGCTATGCTAGTAGAGGTGTAGGTTGGGAACGGGGCGGAGCCCATACCTGCGTTGGCGGAGATCTCACCTGGCTGTTGATTTTCTTTATATTTTTGGGATTTTTTAATTTTCCGTTCTAGTGGCGTTGCTTTAATATTCCAAAATTTTATTTTATCTCGGAAATTCTCTCTTTGCATTTGAGTTCCGGGATTCCAATTTCCAAAATCGAAAATTGCTGCACATACTCTCATCTGGGTTATGAACCTGGTTGCTTGTTGTCTGAAGACCGACACTCGCTCACATAGACTTCCATGCATGCCCATACACACAAAGAAGGAAGGGAAGAGGATAAGAGTATCACACCGCACATAGAGAAAGAAACACAGCGGAATACTTGACCATGCGATATGACAGAATACACTGAAGGTGCAATTTGCTCCACAGAATCCCCACAACCAGTCACAAAGGAAAGTCGAGTAGATCACATCCAGAAAACAATGAAGCAAAGATAGTTCTCACACAGTATCCACACTATTTATTAAACTCAGAGTATCGTTTTCCAGAATAGTCTTAGAAACATCCTGAGCAGCGCTTCTCTACCCAATCCAGAGTAACCGCTATGTACTACCCCAGAACCCCTGAAACAACCAGCGCCACCCAGATACTGCCTCCAGAGGGAAGCGCCACCCTGAAACAGGTCCTTGAGGCCAAGCACCTCTTAGAGGATGAAGAAGAAGACCAGTGCCACAGTCTCTGATGAAGATGGAGTGCCGGATAACTTCACGGATGAAGATCTGCAGCAGCGCCACCTTTCCTGACAAAGGAGATCTCTTAGGATGTACGAGGCAGCAAAGAAGGGACAAGCCCTTCAACGCTTTGCTCGTCTACACCCCTAGCTCAGAGGTCCTCGCTCCGGGGGAGGGTAGGCCTGCAATGACTTGTTGATTCTGCAGCCTGCAGCCCGTCGAACCGAGGCTGAAACATAGGTAGGAAAGATTCGTAATTTTGTTTCTACTTTGTAATAACCGGGAAACCAGTGCGTGGGGGAAATACGTGAGGCACATATCTGCAAATTTGTAAAAATTAGCAGACCCGCACTAATCCTATTTCCCTATAGTCATCCTAACTGCGAATAGCAAGCCCGGACTACCACGCGGACAGACAAGCCTAAGGGCCTACGCTGATAGACAGGTCCTATAGCCTCTAGCCGGGTAAGGAGAGGCCCTAGAGGCTGAAACAGAAACGGTACCAGTCGGTCCAAGAAGTCCGGTCTAGGTTGAGTCTAGGCTAGAGCAGATCTATTAATAGATTGGGGAAGGCTGTTCAGAGCTTTTGGCGGTTGGCGTTTACCAGATCGTGACAGCACAACGCATGAACTGGAATGGTGACAGCTTCAGCGTTGAAGAAGATAGACATAACGAGACCCTCGAAGCGTCGGCCATAGCTGGGTCCTTCGCTGTTCTCTAGCAGCACGTGGGGCTCGAAGGACCCAGCTATGGCCGACGCTTCGAGGGTCTCGTTATGTCTATCTTCTTCAACGCTGAAGCTGTCACCACTCCAGTTCACGCGTTGTGCCGTCACGATCTGGTAAATGCCAACCGCCAAAAGCTCTGAACAGCCTTCCCCAATCTATTAATAGATCTGCTCTAGCCTAGACTCGACCTAGACCGGACTTCTTGGACCGACTGGTACCGTTTCTGTTTCAGCCTCTAGGGCCTCTCCTTACCCGGCTATAAGCTATAGGACCTGTCTATCAGCGTAGGCCCTTAGGCTTGTCTGTCCGCGTGGTAGCCCGGGCTTGCTATTCGCAGTTAGGATGACTATAGGGAAATAGGATTAGTGCGGGTCTGCTAATTTTTACAAATTTGCAGATATGTGCCTCATGTATTTCCCCCACGCACTGGTTTCCCGGTTATTACAAAGTAGAAACAAAATTACGAATCTTTCCTACCTATGTTTTGGCCTCGGTTCGACGGGCCGCAGGCTGCAGAATCAGCAAGTCATTGCAGGCCTACCCTCCCCCGGAGCGAGGACCTCTGAGCTAGGGGTGTAGACGAGCAAAGCGTTGAAGGGCTTGTCCCTTCTTTGCTGCCTCGTATCTGAGGACAATAGGGTTTGTTGTCTTGAGGAGTTCCTATCGAGTAAACCAGCGATCCTCAGTGTGAGGCTGGTACAAGAACTTCACAAGATACTGCAGATTTGTACCTGTGCCCATCTCGTCCTCAATCCATTCCACTTCATATCCCTTGATAGGGATCGGTGGACCGAATTGAGGGGGTCTATCCGAAAATGCATCAGCTGATGTAAAAGGCAACAACTTAGATGCATGGAAGACCGGATAAGTTTGTAGCTGCAGGGGGACATCAACAACGTACGATGGTCCAAAGGGATCAGCCCCCACTGTATCTAAGACCTGCCATGGACCCATGCATCGTGGCAACAACTTTGGCGAAATGTCCTCCTCACGTGATAGCTCAGAACTTAGCACCCAAACCCAGTCACCAGTGCGAGCTAGTGAACTCTGCAGTTCCAGGTGTGAGTGCAGGGGTAGCCTTGTCGATGATGTTATCGAGAGGCTGCTGCGGGTCACGACCCTAGTGTAATTGGTAGGGTGTGAAACCAGCGGAGGATTGTACAGACGTGTTATACACTAGTTGTGCACGACCCAAATGCAGATCCCGGCCCTGCTGATCTAGACTGATCACAGGACGTAGCAGCTGAAATAGGATTTGGTTCATCACTTCAGCCTGTCCATTGGCTTCAGGATGACGACCAGATGTCATATCCAAGCGTGAATGTAGGTAGTCCTTGCAATAGGACTGCCATTCATTGCTGCGGAAACGGGGATCGCGATCAGGTGGGTGGTCCATGATGTGAAACCCACCTGTCAGCAAATGCTACCTGCATGGCAAGCACTCTGGCTTCTCCTGGCAAAGGGATGAATTCCGCATACTTGGAGAACCTATCCACACAAACCATTATTACCTGACACATACCACTGGGAGTGGTCCTGCCCAAATCTGTAAAGTCAATAAATACAGACCGTGCAGGTGCCTCAGGGATGGGAAGTGGTTTGAGCATGCATACGACCTTGTTCCTTTGGCATAACTCACAGGTTTCGACATAGTGCAGTAGGTCCAGAAGAACCTCTGCAACAGGGCTGCATAGGATTTGAGGGCCCCAAAATGACCACGAGCATCATGACACACTAACATAAAGAGTGTTCTCAGCTTGCGATTTTGGGGAATGCACATACGTTCCTGAGAAAATTGATTACACAAAAAGGCAATTATTCATGAAGAAGATAACATGAGCTTTACTATCATGGTGTCGTCATCTCCTTCTCAGCATACCTTGGCGTCCACCGCCAGGATAACTCAACCCTTCCACTCGTCACGCCACTCAGATTGCAACCAGGTCTGAAACCAGAGTATATCTGGGTTCAGATGTTGGATTGGCCTGCAGATTCTTCAAGATCGGCCCAAAAATAGGGTCATGTGGCAGCAAACAGGAAATGGTCTGACAAGTCTTCTCCCCAAAGGAATGAGTGAAGGAGATCAGGAAGAGCGCGTCAGGTCTACGAGAAAGGGCATTTGGTACTTCATTATAGCAGCCCTTCTTGTGTTTGAGTTCAAAGTCAAACATGTCAATGAACTGAATATAGCGGGCAAGCTTGTCATTCAGCTCTCCCGGAGACTTCATCCATTGAAGTGTGGAGTGATCAGAAAAGATCTTGAAGTGCCTTCCCAGGAGATAGTGCCTCCAATGCTTGAGCGCTGACACAAGGGCATACAACTCCTCATAGGTAGAGTCCTGCAACTTCTTGGCTTTGATCTTTTTGCTCGTGTATTCAACAGGCTGCAGACCATTCCCATTATCCTGTCGAAGTACCGCTCCTATACCATACTGACTAGCATCAGTGGTTAGCACAAAAGGCAAGGTAGGATCAGGTAGCTTCAGTACAGGAACACAAATCAAGGCCTCCTTGAGACGTGTGAATGCCTCCTGATAGTCTGATGTCCAAAGAAAGGGATTGTCTTTCTTGGTAAGGTCAGTTAGAGGTGTTGCGATAGAAGAGAAGTTCTTGCCGAACTTTCTGTAGTAAGAAGCAAGACCAATGAAAGACCGAACGTCAAAGACTATTAAAGGCTGCGGCCAGTCTTAAATAGCAGCAACTTCCGTTGCTTCGTGAGCTAACCTCTCTCGAGAAATGACATGACTCAGGTAGACAACAAAGTTTACTGCAAAAAAAGACTTCTCCCAATTAATCTTTTATTGGTGATCATGTAAAGTCTGGAGGACAAGAGCCAAATTTTGCGCATGCTCCTGGACATGTTCAACTGAATACCAAGATGTCATCCAGGTAGACAACTACAAACCGGTCCAAGTAAAGCCTGAGGATGTGATGCATCTCTGTTTGGAAAGTGTCAGGGGCATTGCAAAGACCGAATGGCATGATCAGGTACTCATAGGTACCATATCTGGTCTTGATGGATGTCTTGTGGACATCGCCTTCAGCCATTTTCATTTGGTGATAACCAGATTTGAGGTCGATATTACTGAAAATAGTGCAACCCTGCACCATATCCCAACAAATCATCGATCCGAGGAAGAGGCTCAATAGACTTCCTCATGATCTTGTTGAGTCCGCTGTAGTCCACACACATTCTGAATTCACCATTTCCCTTTGGAACAAAGAGAACCCCATGATGGAACGCAAGGATAATGAGTCCGACGAAGACTACGAGGCCAGGCTGACCGACATGATGCTCGGGCTCAAGCAAAGAGCTGATGCGGCACTTGGCGCTCAAGAGAAGAGAGAAAAGGAAGTCGAGGAGCAACATCACCTTGCTGAATTACAGCAGCAAGCACACGACGATGCAGCACGAAAGACTGCAGATGAAGCAAGACAAGCGCGCCGAAATGCATTATTTGAGGAGGAGGTCGAAGTCTTGACCTTGGCCACCGACTGGGACACGTCGGCCAAGGAGGAGGGTTCCTCCGCGACCGTATGCAATTTTTTCGTGGTCATCAAGAGAATTATGGACTTGGTAGCTAACTACATGGCGCAGCAAGAGGGCATCCTCACATTGGACCAGCACATGCAAACATTGCTCGGTCGCGTTCACATTCTGGAACACCGGCCTGTTGCAGCAGCAGCCGTTGGCCCCTCCAACATTCCAGACCGCGTCAACAAATTGGAGGCGGACATGGGCACCCTGAAGGACACGGTGCGGCAGCAGCAAGCGACCAACCAGCAGTTGGAGCAGCAGATTTGTGCATCAGCTGTCAGTTCAGTCCCGTCATCTCACGAGCGCAGAACCAAGTTTGATGGCATCTCGATCTTCTGCGATGCATCGAAGACCGAGCTAGTTCAATGGCGGCGCCAATTCAACCTGCGTTTGGACTTGTACGAATTGAGCGACCCCAACCGACATGCTTATTTATGTCATCAGTCGGGGTGGCGCGTGTCAAGCATGGCTTGACAATATGCTGCCCACACTCGATGCACCGTCTCCACGCTGCATACAAAGCTTAGTTGGGCTGATCTCAAGGCAGCATGGCACAAGCGGTTCCAAGTGGAACCCCCCGAGCTCCAAGCAATGGAGAAGTTGCAGAAGTTTCATCAGAACACCTTGCCAAGCAGAGATTGGATGACCGAGTACCAACACTTGGCATCCACACCTGACTTGCTGATCACCTTTACAAGCATCTAACACTACTTCATTACGAGGTCGTGCCCGACGTTGCAGAATGCATTGACGCAAGTCACGGAGACGCTCACCACAAGCGAGTTGTTATTTAACAAGGCCTCACAGATTATTGTGAGGAACACGGAGGCCCACAACGCTGGTCGTTTGTCATCCGCAGGCGAGTGCAGAGATCAGCATCGACCGAAATTGGTCGTGGTTGCTGCAACAACACCGACCAGTTCTAATGAGGTTGCTTCATCAGACGAGAGAGACACGTTCGCAACTGCCCGGGATGATGGCACAAACACCTTCATTACGATCTCTCGGAGGGCGTCTACAAGATCCGCATGAGACACCATTATTGTTTGTGGTGCAACAACGACGCACATGAAACCGCCGACTGTCCCACGAAAGCCAAGGGAAAGTCCCTTCCGGGAAAGTGAGCACCATTGAGAGTGAAACGGCTGCACTCTCGACGCCTTCGGAACCGGTTGCTTCGCGAGCGACCTCGCTTAGTTCCAAGGCACATGAGGAAGTCTTAAGTCCTCTTCTTGATTCTTTCGAGGATTATGCTGTCTGGCTCATTCCATCGTTGGGTTCTCTCGCTCAAGGACAAGGTGTGTGCGCGGTTTCATCTCCATCGGGAAGCAACGACATTTTATTGTCTTCAAGTTGTTCTTCAAGGGATTCGGCACTCGAGTTCAATGTAGAGGTCTTGGACCCGTTGTCGCCCGCGAATTTTGCATGGCTTCCTCTCCCTTCGACGGGTCGCTTACCGGGACTGCAATGCGCAGCACTATGCGCCCATCTCCACACGTATTTGTCCTTCTATGCACCGCCAACTTCGTCGACAAGTGACGAAGTTGCTGTGGGGGACCTCGTTGCATATATCACCAAGGTGGCCCGCGAGTTTCACACGCAGCGGTACGATGACAACAACGCACCACCCCTTTATGTCCGCATCCTAGTTGGCTTCGACGGGCTGCTTACCGGGACTGCAATGTGCAACACTATGCGCCCATCTCCACACGTATTTGTCCTTCTATGCACCACCAACTTCGCCAACGGATGGCGAAGTTGCTGTGGGGGACCTCCTTGCATATGTCACCAAGGTGGCCCGTGAGTTTTACACACAGCGGTACGATGACAACAACGCACCACCCCTTTATGTCCGCATCCTAGTTGGGCAAGCATCCTGCAGCGCTTTGCTTGATAGCGGCACGACTCGCAATTTCATGAGCCAGTCCTTTGTATAAAGGGCCGGCCTCGACACACAAGTTCGAAGGAAGCCACATCCTATAGCAGTCAAGATGGCGGACAGTCAAATGCAACTTCTTGATCGCTACATCGAAGCCATGCCAGTCTATTTTGCACCACATGCACGCGAGCTGGTTACATTTGACGTCTTGGACACGGACGCCTTGGCTCACAAGTGCGGACCACACGGTCAACTTCCATCGACGGACTCTTACCGTTCGCGATGCCTTTTGTATCAAGGTGTCGTGTACCATTCCTCTTCCGCACCCTTCGATCTGGTGACAAGTTGTGACGGCCAAGTCTTTTCGCCCCACTTGTGCTTACGAGCGGACCGACAAGATCGGCCTATGTTTTCTACGAACCGTTGCGGCGACCGAATCCTCACCTACGGACTTGTCTTCAGACCCCCACGTGGTGCGGTTGCTTGACCAGTTCGTCGACGTCTTCAAGTCTCCTACCGGTGTGGTGCGAGATCGGCTGATCTCCCTTGAGATCATACTTGACGCCGGTGCCGTGCCGTCGAAAGGTTGCATCTACCGCACGAGCGAGGAAGAGCTCGCGGTTCTCCGCGTGCAACTCGATGACTTGTTGGACAAGGGCTGGATCCGCCCTAGCAGCTCGCAATACGGTGCGCCAACTCTTTTCCTAAGGAAGAAGAACAAGGATCTTCGCTTAGCGCAAGCTCAACGCGCAAACCGTCAAGAACGCGGGACCTCTTCCTTGTATTGACAATCTTCTTGAGCGTTTGGGCAGTGCAAAGTATTTTTCCAAGTTGGACTTGCAGTCGGGCTATCATCAGATTCTGATACGCCCGCAAGATCGCTACAAATCCGCGTTCAAGACGTGGTATGAGCATTTTGATTGGATTGTCATGCCTTTAGGCCTCACCAATGGCCCAACGACCTTCCAAGCGACAATGACCAACAAGTTTCGCGCGATGTTGGACCAGTTTGTGCTGGTCTACTTGGACGACATTCCTGTATATAGCTGGACCTTCTTGGATCGTGTGTTGGAGACGCTCCGTCGCGCCAAGTACAAAGCGGACCGCGACAAGTGCGAGTTCGTACGTCAAGAGTTAGAGTATTTGGACCATTTTGTCACACCGGAGGGCATTAGTTCGTTATCGGACAAGATTCAAGTCGTCCAAGAGTGGTCGGAACCGAAGAATGTCATGGACGTCCGTTCGTTTCTCGACCTAGCCGGCTACTATCAACGCTTTATCAAAGGGTATTCGAAGATCGCGGCTAATTTGACCAGGCTTCAATGCGAGGACCTACCGTTTGTCTTCGATGACGATGCGCAGGCTTCCTTTTTGGCCCCCGCCTTGCTATCCGCGGAGGTTTTACGCATCTACGACCCATTTTTGCCGACGCGCGTCACTACCGATGCGTCCGGCTATGGCATTGGTGTCGTCCTCGAGCAACACAATGGCGTGGACTGGCACCCTATCGAGTACTTCAGTAAGAAAGTGCTTGCCGTGCATTCAATTGATGACGCATAGGAGTTATTGGTCTTTGTACACATGCTTAAGCGGTGGCGACATTTTCTTCTCGGTCGAAGTCAATTCTTATGGTCAAGGGATAACAATCTGTTGGTCTTCTATAAGACCCAAGACACGGTCAATAGTACCATCGCCCGTTGGGTGGCTTTCATTGACCAGTTTGACTTCTTCCCCGATCACATCCCGGGAAAGTCAAACCGTTTTGCGGACGCACTTTCACAACGTCCGGACCTTTGTGCCGCGATCTACTCGACGTTCAAGATTGACGACGACTTGCGGGACAGTTTCATCCGCGGCTATCAAGTCAACCTTGAGTTTCGCGACAAGTACGCGAATTGCCCCTCTCCAAATCTGGGGCCATCACATTATCGGATCCAAGAGGGCTATTTGCTAGTCCACTCATGGGGGAAGGATCTTCTTTGTGTGCCAAGTGATCGACACTTGCGTACGCGGCTTCTTGGCCAGTTCCACGCCGCCGCTGCCACCGGACACTTTGGAGTCAATCGTACGGTTGGCCGACTTCGCGAACGCTTTTGGTGGCCCGACCTTCTCAGCGACGTCACATGCTATTGTGAGTCATGCAAGGCTTGCTGGCATTGCAAATCCCGCAATCATCGTCCGTTCGACGAGTTGCGACCATTACCGGTCCCCTCAGGACGACAGGAATCGTTTGCCATGGACATCACTGGGCCGTTCCCCAAGCACAAAACCAGTGTGGATGGGATTCTCACGGTGGTCGATCGACTCACCAAGTTCGCCATGTTTTTTCTTTGTCTCTATCACGCCAAGGCACTGGAGTTGGCCAAGGTCCTTCACACCAGTTGGATTAGTACCAAGGGTTACCCCAAGGAGATCGTTTGCGACCGCGACACTCGGTTCATGTTGGTTGGCACTCATCAAACGATGGGGCTCATCTCTCAAGCCGAGTTCGGCTCACCACCCACAAACTGATGGCCAAATGGAGAGGGCGCATCAACCGCATAGGTTCTTTTCAGTCTTATCTGTCCTGACCAAAAGGATTGGGTTGAGCGGCTGCCAGACGTCAAGTTGGCTTACAACTCGTCCATTCATCCGACTATCGGGATGTTGCCTTTTGAGTTCGAGCATGGCTCATCGGTCACATCGCCGTTGGATACTATCATGCCACGGGCGACCGAGAGCGACGACCACCTTATTTTCATTCGACGGATGCAAGAGCTCCTTGTCAAGGCATGCGACCAGATGTCGAAGACGCAACAACGCATGAGCCGTCAGGCCAATCATCAGCGTCTTCCTTGTCTGTTCCGCGCCGGCGACCTTGTTTGGGTCTCCGCCGCGGAATTCAGCCCCGAACAGGATATCTCTCTCAAGCTCCTTCCAAAATGGATGGGGGCTTGGCGCATGGTGGCACCCGCTGGTGACGCACCCAAAGGACCATCATTTGTCATTCAGGTGCCGGCCCACGTGCCGGTCTACCCGGTCTTTCATTGTTCAAAGTTGGCTCTTTTCGTTTCGGCGGAATGCGACGACTTTCCGGGGAGGCGAGCGCAAGACCTACCCTCCATGGACGGTTTTCAGGAGGTAAGCGACATCATTTTGCAGCGGCGTTACGGCACCAAGCCGATGGAGTACTTAGTACACTTTTCTTATTGTAGCCATAAGGCTGACCGTTGGTTGACCCGTGCGGAACTTGAGGCCACAACCCTCTTATGTCCTCGCACGTTACGAATGCAAATAACAAGGCAAGCGGTACCTTCTGCTTCACGCCGTACTCATGTCCAGGTTCCACCATCGGATCGCCAGCTTCGCCCTCGACCCGGCTTGACTTCATAAGAAGGGGGGGGTGTTACATGTTGAGCCTGCACACAGGCCCCATTTTGGGGGCCCGACGGTTGCTGGGGCACCCTAGGACGCACACCGTTCAGACATGCGCCCTAGAGGCCCACGGTCGGCCTTAGGGCCGCAGGATTTGCTGTCCTATTTTTGTCTGCTCAGGCGCCGTTTCGGACTTGCAGTTCATCTGAACAGACTTTTGGTCCGTTCGGACAAAGGCCACGTTTTGGGCCTTGTACGTTAGCAGGCAGGCCCTTTCGGGCCAGGTCCGTTTTTGTCCAGTTGCGGACACTCCCTGCTGCATCAGCAGGGAGGGCCTGGACGCCCGGTAGGGACGCAGGCAAGCCACGTTTTGGGCTAAGACCAGAGGCACACGGGAGGCACACCCGCAAGGCCCAGCGATACTTATAGCTGGGCCAGGCCAGGGCAGGCACACAGTCGATTAGCTCACTTCCTGGGCGACATATTGCTGGAGCAGCGCGAGAGCGCTATGCTAGCGGTAGAGGTGTAGGTAGAGAACGGTGCAAAGGCCATACCTGCATCGGTGGAGATCTCACCTGGGCGCTATGTGTCCGATTTTCGATTCAACGCGGGTTCCGCGTTGAATTCGCGTCGAATCCTGTTGAAACGCGCGTTAGAAGCGAATAAACGGGGTCCGCAATGATTTTTTTCCTGGCCTAAACATAATCCAAAAAAAAAATAAAAAAATATGGGATTGGAGGTCTTTTCGAGGACTACAACCCTATATTTTTATTTTTATTTTTTGATGTTTGAGTATATTTTTTAAAAATCCAGAATATAAACACAATGAAAAAAAACAAAAGCAAAAATGAAATGAGAGTTTTTTTTTTTGGGTTTCACAAAGATTTTTTAAGGGCTAAAACAAAAAAAGAAAAACAAATAAAAAATATAGGGTTTTAGATCTTTCAAAGATGTACAACAATCCAGCGGCCTAGCTCAGTTGGTAAGGCACGCAAGTGGCATTCAGGAGGTCTTGGGTTCAATCCCCATTGGCCTCATGTACCTTCCTGGGCATGCTTGGCGCCCAGTCGGTAAGGCACGCAAGTGGCATTCAGGAGGTCTTGGGTTCAATCCCCATTGGCCTCATGTACCTTCCTGGGCATGCTTGGCGCCCGCCACCCAGAGATAGCCCGTTGGTCCCACCAATTAGCGTTAAAAAGCAGTCTCTGCTGATGTTCATAGGGGGAGGGGTAATCGGGGAGGCACAGCGACTGGCCACTCAGATGATGCTCGGTCCCTCTGCTACCGGCTGTCCCCTGGCCAGTGTCCCCCATAGGGGGTTCCCTGAAGGCAATCAAGGCCACCCTTGGCTGAAAAGGCCACCCGATGTCAGATTAGACACAACATTGAATTTACCAAGGGTGGTTAGTCCGATGATAATACCTCAAGGCCATCGCCCTTTTTTTTTTTTTTCTTTTTTTTTTTTAAGTACTAAAACCAGCGTTCGGGATGGGCCGAACGCCCGAACGTATGGGACCTCTTGGGGATGCGTTCGGCCGTTCGGGCCAAAGGCGGACCCCCCCCCCCAAAAAAAAAAAAAAAAAAAAAC